TAACTAACTGATTTATAGTTACATAACACTTCTATATAATTTCCACAAAGCAGCTTGCTTACTTATTATTTTAATCAGTCAGGTAAGAGACACACACAACTTCATTAAAACAAAAATATTTATTCAAGCTGTAAATGCTATGCAGTATTAAATTATTGGATGGGTTTAATATAAACATCTACTGCATAATATTGGTTCCTTAGGAATCCTTGTATACTATCTTGAAACGTTGCCCTGTTGCTGTACAGCTCTCTCATAAGAAAACTTGCATTGTTTAAGACCTCAACAATTTGAGAACAAAGGAGGAAACACCACTTGAGAAAATTCTGCAGTACTGGAGCAAGGCTTAAGTGTATTAATTTTCATCTAATTAGTACTAAAATGTAGCTTGAGCTTCTCCTGTATCAGTCTTGAAGAGAGTTTGTAGAGTAGCTGTGACCACTTTCTATGATAAACCAAAAGATTAGATGCAAATTTTACTGTATCTGGCTAAAAGCATAAGTAACATTACTAAATGCCTTTTCAGCAGTACAAAAGATGGTTCAAAGAATTTACTCTTGCAATAGAACACTTTCAAGTTCTTTTCTGGCTATCACTACAGTTTAGATATTCATACTGAAGGTACAACATTTTACAATATTTTTTGCATTCAAAAACATCCTATGTAGCAAGTACTGTGTAAGTAATTCCTAGAAACAGACTAGGCCTACACACATTTAATTTTTTTGTCTGAATGGTTGGGGGGAAAGCTTCATTAGAAGAGAACTTTTTTGCCTTAGATTTATGTAATTTTTAATAATTCATTCAAAGCCTTAAAACATGGATTTTACAATTATAACAGAAGATAATGTTACTACAAGTCAGTTACATCTGAAGTTTCTTTATGATTCAACAAGACAATGGAAAGTGGCAAAAATTAGCTGTCCATGTCTTAGAACAGTGAATTACAAACACTGCCTTCAAATTCACAACTTTTTCACAAATTGATGAAGCAGTTCAGAGGGTAAGTAAGTAGAGAATGCAGCAGAACGCAGACAACATGGTGTGTAACAGGAAACTTACTTACAACTTTTCGTACATTACATTTATACAAATTTACAATTTTGCAAATTAAATGGCTCTATAATTATGCAAGTGCTTTTTCAAAAATAAACATATACCAACTCAATGATATTTACAGACTTAGCAACCTGCTTCAGAAACAGCATGATTTTGCTATAAAGTGAATCTTCAGTGCACTGAAAGTGCAACTCATCCTTTAGAATTAATCTCCCATGCAAAACCTCAGCATAGAACACTGGCTTTATACAGTCACAGTTCATATCTTTTTATTCATCGTAATGCAGAGATAACAAGAACTTGTCCACATCCATTCCTGCCGGAAAAGAATTTGGCAGCTTCTTTTTCTGTTGAAGAAGAAGAGTAGTTGCATGAAATACCAAGAATTTGAGAATACTGAGGCTGTCTCTAAACATTCTTTTTTTTTCTTTATCCTTCCCTAGCCACGCTGCAGAAGTAACTGTACAAAGCTCACTCAGAAATTGGACACTGAAACATATAGGCACTTGTGCATATCCCCTAAGGAAACTGCATGATTACAGGACAGGCATAGTTAAAAGTTCTCAACTTTAGCATTAGCCCACCCAGACTTCAGACACACTATCTCTCTCAGCTTTTGTAACGTGTACGTTGCTATAAATAGCTGAGCATTTTTCATTCATAATATTTCAGGAATACGTGTTAGTAAGTATGATGAGTTAGAATTATAATGCGTCTCCCTCCCTTTTGATCATTTACATACACAGCCTTTTAACGTCTCACCTATACCTGTGCTATTTGCCGTTAAATCAAATCCCCAAGTTAAAGGTAAGGTTTGATAGACTACAGAGACTGGCAATACACAAAATATGGCCTTCTAGTCCTGGCCGTGAAGAGGGGAAATGCAAGAATAGCTTGAATTTTAGTAAGACCTAGTGTGAGTTAGCCTAGTTTCTAAATTCAACAGCTTGAATTTAGCCACTCAGTCATATTTTAAGATAATTCATTTGATTTTCACAGATAGGTGCATAAAGTCAATGATGGGAGTTACTTGTGTATCTGAGCACTGTACACAAATCTTAAGACTATGTTAATTCAAAATGGACTTGAGAGGCAAAGTTACTAAAACTGATGAATATTTATGAGATGTCAAGGATTTGGACTAGCACCTCTGAACCATCTCATTATAAATAATTTTCAGTCTATTGTATATTTAATATTTTAAATGAAAAGTAAATGCCTGTACTCGCCTTTATTTTCTTCTTTTTTGATGGTGTTGGAGAGCTTTGAAGGTCTTTTCTATTTGCAGAACGAGAATTTCTCTCACCTTCATTCAAGTCCTCTAGCTTCCTTTTCTTTACTGTACTCCTTAAAGATCTGAACTGCTGAGTATTATCCTTCAGTGGAGTTGCAGTGCTAGTCCTTGCAATAGCAGCCCGTGACAGTATCATCAGTGTGTGAGCAGCCATATTGACACTATTTTCGCTACCTGTTTCACTAGCTGGGCTGCAGGCAGGTAAGTCTGGAGTAGCAGGAGGGACCATGATTCTAGGTGTTGTGCTGTCCTCATTGAAACGCCGACAGGTTGGTGTCCTTACACTATCCGTAGTATCGTCTGTGTGCCTGTCCCCAACTCCAGATGGTGTACGGGGTACTGGTAATTCTCCATTTTCAACTGCTTTACTAGTAGGGCTATGCCACTGAATGTCTTGCAACATTTCTACACATTGTTTAGTGAAAGGACTTGCCAAGCAAAGGCCTTGGTTGGAAACTTTAGCTGGCTCTCGTTTTGGCTCCTTTGAGGACAGAGAAACAGATGCTGAAGATTTGCTATTCCCGTTTGACAATGACCCTTGTTTTTTGTTCAGCTCCTGCACTGAAGCAACCGTCTTTTCGTTCCATAAGCTAACGCTTTGTTGGCCATTTGAGAGTTTGGCAGCGTCCTGGTTCTTCTGTTTTTCATCACTATCTCTTCGTAACTCATTCTCTTTATTTGCTGTAGTCTTGTGGAAAGGATCTAATGGAAGCCCTGCAGTTACCACCTTCCGCTCAGGCTGGGGCTCCTTCACAGAAACACTTCTGCTGCTACCAACTTCTGGCTTACAGAGAATTCTAGGCAACGTTTTATCTTTCTCTCTCTTTGTCACCTGTGCTTTAGCAGAAGATGCAGAGTCAACAGCAAATAAAGTATTTTCATTCCTTTCTTTCTGGGGTAAACTCTTAGTAGTCTGAATTTGAGTATTTCCTCCAGGAGTGGGCAGGACATTATCAAAGCAAAGCACTCTCCTGTGACTTTCACTTTGTCTTGAATGTGAGCTCGTGCTCTCTGCTGGTACAAGTAAGTTCTCCTCCACTTTCCTTCCTAGCTCTGCACTGATAAGCTTGTCTGAATTTCCAGTCCTGAAAAATGAGGTAAAAATACTTCAGCAATGCATTTTTTTCTTACTAAGTTTGTTTCAGCTGGCTGCAAGTTCCCCCTCAACCAAAACACCCATTTAAAGCTTTCTCCATTCTGTAAGTATAAATATTTGATCAACATATAAAGACTGGGACTAAGGAGTAACAACTGCAGAAAGTTCAGAAAAGGCCAACAAGGAAGGTAAAAAGGTATGAAACAGTCTGTACAAAGAACAATTAGGCAGACTAGGATTCTTCAGCCTGGAAAAGCCTCTCCCCGAAGGGGAAACGCAACAGAGCTCTAGAAAAAATGAAAAGGTAGCTACTCTTTGCTGTATCTTCCAACAGAACCTCCTGCTCCTGCCAAAGTGGCTGC